GACGGTCTACAGGTAGGAATGCTACTGCTCTGCGACGAATCAAGAAGGAAGGGAAGGTCAATTTGAATTTGGTATCTACTAGACCAAGATTGAACACACGATCCCAATCAAAACGAAAGAAGAAAAGTCCTCGAATGGAACCCTTGGATGCCTGGTATAGGAGCAGGCTTACGGCCCATCACGATGCCGAAGAATTTGTACGCAAATTGAAATTAAATTTTTTCCCAATACAGAGTCGTCACTATGATGAGAACTGGCTGATTTTTGGACATGTTGCTTGCACTGTCTTCAATGGCGGGCCTCCCTATGTTTGCTTCTTGAATGGATTACTAGAGGAGTCTGAAGGAGCAGCCGCACGACCTTCCACTGCTTTGGCACCAGTTCTCATCCATCCATGCGGCACCAAGCATAACTCTGTTACAGGAGAGAAGGATAGTGTGTTGAAGGGTCTTCATATGCTCCTCTGCCTCTGTAACCAATTGATGCATCGGAGCTACTGTCTTTAGGCCTGCTTCCACCTCCACTGACCTGGCAAACACATTTTTTTCTTTTTCCTCTATTGACACGTTGGAAATTGAGTACAAGCCTCTTGGTGGAGGCTTGGTTGTGGCTGGTGTCTTCGATCCTGGTGTCTTCTGGGGATGAATGGCCTCAGTTGCATTTTTCATAGTATCCCCTGTCTTCTGGGGATGAATGGCCTCGGATGCATTTTTCGTAGTATCCCCTATACCACCAGGCATTGCTTTGGCTCTCACAAACTTAGAGCACACTGCTTTGATAGCTTTTGCTTCTATGGCCTCCCGCTGGTTGTGAATGAACTCAGTGCGTGTCAATTGGTCCATAATAGTCAATGTGGACGTAAAACGGCCAAACTGTTGCTTTATCATTGGCGCTGCAGTAGCATGAACTGCTTGTCGCATTGCAGCTAGACCCTCAGGACCCATTGGTGGTGGACTTCCAATTTGTATAGGAGTAGGTTTTCTCATCTTGTCCTTTGTAGGTGTTACATTTTCATTGGGTCTCGATTGGCTGAAGAGGGATAGTACTTTGGCTCGTTGCTTATGTTCCTGTGCCGAAATGAAAAGGGATCTGTTTCTATCCCTTGAAACCATGGAATTCCCTTCAACCAGTTTGTCCACACTTAAGTTTGCAATATTGGTAGGTTGCACAATAGCATGCAAGTCCTCCCTCTGGGTAATTGGGTCCGCTGAAATAGATGGGGTATGGCTTGTAGCAACAGGTTTGTCTCCAGACACTGGACTTTGTATGGTGTTTGAATATGTCAGGTTTCTCATCACAGTCTTAGTATTTGGCAGTGGATTTGTCTTAGACCTTCTGCCCTTTGGATTACTGATAGTGCCCTGAACTAGGTCTCCATTTGTTGGTGTCATCTCATAGGATAGGACGGTATAGTGCAGATTGACCTCTGGATTCCCCGCCTGGGTTCGCAACCACTGTATAAAGTCTGCAGCAGACGAGTTTGCTCCATTGGCAGCTTTGGCTGCAATGTATTCTGGTGAAGTTATCATGACAGATCGAGTCGCAGACCTAGAAACATAGCCATGCTTCAACTCAAGAAGCATCTTCCGAGATTGCGTACCTGTAACTGCTGCCTTCTGTTGGGAGGTTGTGTGCTTTTATTGGTAACTCGGCTGCAGGTTTGGCATGGTATTTGTGGAGGGTGTCTCCTTTACAAGAGATGTAGATATAGGATTGATCACCTGCCTTTTTACTGCTATGAATACGTAGTCTTAGTCTGCAGGAGCACAACTTGTCTCCTGTAATGTCCTTTGAAGTGTGCGTAGCTCGGGGACAGGTTTGGCCATCTGGACGATTTCTCAAACGATCGTGATGGTAGGACTTGTGCCGGTATTGGAGAAGGACTCCTTTTTCATTGAATTGCTCCAAGTCCTGTAGTTTCGTCCCTTTGTATGGCTTTGATCTATAACAGGTCAACCATCCTTTTGAGGCATCATAGGTAAATTCACTTCCATGCTTTAGGCCAATTAGTTTCAAATGGTGAAGCAAATCTTTGAGGCCTTGTTTTGTAGGTGGCCATTGTTTTGAATCAAATCTTGCTTTTCTTGTTTCAATATCATTCGTCACAAATGCGAACAAGTCAGCGGATTCACCGTCATAATCAACAAGACCATCAAATATCATTCGTCACAAGCCATGTTTGAGCTTCAGCAACTCTGAGTTGCAGTCCTTCTTCTACTTCCTCTTAGGCATTGGAAGCTATGGGGGAGAAAATGGCAGGAGTTTTGTGTTGGTCTTCTAGGAAAATTGTTTTTGTTACTTTGATGATTTTGGCCAAGTCAATTTTGGCGCCAATGCTGGGTGCAAATCCCTAGTCAAAGGAGTCGGTCTATAACAAGGTCTACAGTCATTCCGCCGTCGGAGCCATCCAATTTTGCATAGAGCCATCAAGGCAGGCGTGCGGCCGGCTGGCAACATTTGGGAGAGTCTTATCTGCTGGATGTAGTTGTCTAATTTCTAGTCAGTACATATCAAACGTTGTTTTTGCGTAGAACAGACAGTTTTCCGTAGAACGGACAGTTTTCCCATAATTCCCAATAAAACAATTAGAGTTGTGGGAAACTTCCCACAACTACAATTAGAGTTGTGGGAAACTTCAAATTTGTCTCAGTACATATCCTACATGGTTTTCTGTGTAGAAATGACAGTTTTCCCACAACTGTTGAGAGAATTCCCACAAAAACTACAGTCCAAATCAAAATTCTGAAACACGAAGTAGAATACGTAGAACTAGTAGGCCACGTCACACAATCGGTCTAACAAAGTACTTTCACATTTTTTGCGCGCCTTCGTAGATTTTCGTTTATTTTGTACCAAATGATCATAGCAACAAATCATCATTTCCATCATCAACCTTCGAACCCCTTGTTGACATCAAGAAAAGATCGAGCATCCCGCTTTTTTGAAGATATCAAAGAAGGAAAATGTCAAATAAAAACGACATGCCCGATGATTCTAAATAGTGAAAATCTACCAAAAAAGGCAGATGGATTTGATTTCACCATGGTGGTAAGTTCTGCAGCACCTGTATTCATCACCCACTACAAGAAAGTCGATGCGTAGCTAACAGCACCTGTATATTGACATTTGCTACCCTGTTCCTGTGAATTGATCTGGTCTCATTTGTTTCTTTGGTCCCAAAAATGACCGCTGGAGCCTACCTTCAACGTCCAAAAAGAAGGGTTTTGGGACATCACAGAGTCCCATGGCACAAAGAGCTTCATGATTTTCGCGGATGTTGCTTCTATAGGTATACTGAGGACCTTGGAATCGTGTGGTGTTCGATATCAGGGTGCCTTTGTGCAGATTATCAACCGAGTTCATCATTTGGCAAAACTCGTCAAAATCAGATGAAGGTCCCCGTGGCCGCCATGGAGACAGCTATCCATTGAACAATACACCAGGACCTCGCTTGGATATCTACAGTCGATAAATTCTGGGACCCAGTCAAAGATTCGGTCTAGATCAAGCAGACAGGGGCCAGAATGGGGCCAGAAAAGATGTACGTTTGTTGAAAATTCTGGAATTGTCGAATTGTTAGCCTGGTTTCCTCAATCTTCTTTATTCTAACACGTATTTGTCGTCCATGGGTATATCTAACCAGGTTTGGCGGCTTGGAATGGGATATTTCAAGGTCGAAGTGATTGAACTGCACCTAATTGACCTTTCTG